ATGGCACAATCTACTTCCTTAAGAGCTTGATGTATTCTTAAGACTGAGGCAAACTCCCCTCCCCCTAAATCTCTTTTCAAGTGCTATTATATAGTCAGGCTCCTAAATGACATTCTATTTTTATGGTTGCAATTACAAAGAGGGAAAAATAACAGTCCTCAAATTAGAAAACAGCCCCAGAATCTGTCCTTTTTGTTTGGAGGACCTTGCTGGGGCTTGTGCCCTCAGCTACTGCCCTTCGACTTAGTGGTGGGGGTCAGAGGTTGATGGGCCCTAGTGAACTCCGACCGCAGACTGCATTTCCCTCGGGAAATGCCTAGACTTGCTTTACTCTCACATATTTCTTTGCATTTCCTGAAGACCAAGGGTATAGGGTATAGATCTTTGTCTAAGGCCTCTCTTATCTGTTCCCCTTCTTTAAGGGAAAAAGAATGAAATGAAAGACTTCTCTTCCAGACACAAGAGAATTTCTGTTGTTTGATGTCACAATACCCAGTACACACACACGACTAATATAGGTGTACACATGTTCATAGAGGTGTACACATGTCATAAGCCCCATATGCCTGTAATGTACATATATATGTTATATATACTCATACGTGTGTTGAGCATGTGTGAAAGATGTGAGGTCAAATACTAGTTCAAGGTATGGAGGTTATACAGTGGTAGCGAACCTTTTGAGCTCGGCGTGTCATCATTTTGAAAAACCCTAACTTAACTCTGGTGCCGTGTCACATATAGAAATTTTTTGATATTTGCAACCATAGTAAAACAAAGACTTATATTTTTGGTATTTATTTTATAAATTTAAATGCCATTTAACAAAGAAAAATCAACCAAAAGAATGAGTTCGTGTGTCACCTCTGACACGCGTGTCACAGGTTCGCCATCACTGCCCTAGACAATGGCGCCTGCCCAGGGTTGCTCAGTGGAGCATCAGCCCACTCACTGAAGGGCTTCGGGTTCGATTCCCAGCCCCGGTCACGGTGGGTACCGAAGGCAACTGATCGATGTGTCTCTCTCACATCTTTGTTTCTCTCTCTCTCTCTCTCTCTCTCTCTCTCTCTCTCTTTCTCTTCCTCCCCCTTTCTCCTTCTCTCCCACTCTCTCTAAAAATCAATGGAGAAAAAAATCCTCGAGTGAGGATTAACAAAAAACAAACAAAAAGAAAATGCAGAATACTAATAATGAAAACTAGGGCAAAATAACATCATGATTTTAAAACTTCATCAATAAAATGTCTCAAGTAAAGGAGAAAGTGTCTAATTTCTCTTTGGTTCCATTTTCTCTACTAATAGAGAACACTAATCAATAGAGTTGATTAGTAAAGAAAACTGCTTTCACTTATTTTTACCTGATAATTATAAGATTAGCTAGTAGAAATCATAGAAATTCCTTAAGAGTGGTTACTCCTTGCCCTAGCCAGTTTGGCTCAGTGGATAGAGCATTGACCTGCAGACTGAAGGGTTCCAGGTTCAATTCCAGTTAAAGGCATTATATCTCGGTTGCAGGCTCGATTCTCGGCCCTGGTCAGGACACATGTGGAAGGCAACCAATCGATGTGTCTCTCTCACATTGATATTTCTCTCTCTCTATTTCGCCCCCTCCCTTTCACTCTCTCTAAAAAATCAGTGGAAAAATATCCTTGGGTTAGGATTAACAACAACAACAACAACAACAAAATGGTCACTTCTATTAATTCTTTTTAAATTTAATCTTATAATCTAACTGTAAAAATAGACATTTTAAAAACATTTGGAGGAAATCTGATTTATGGACTGGGTACAAACAACACCAAGGAATTGTTGCTAATTTTATTGGGTGTAATATTGACACTTGTTATATTAGAAAATGAACATATTTTTGGAGATATGCACTGAAATATGTAGGGCAAAAATGACATGATGTCTGGGATTTGCTTTAAAATACTTATAGAAAATAAAAAGAAATAAGGGATAGATTAAACAAATGTGGCAAAATTGTAATTGTCAAATAGGGGTGGTGAGTATATGAGGTTTTATTACATTATGTATTTTTATCACTATGTTTGAAAATAATAAACTAAAACAAATGAATACTCTTACTAGAAACAACATGTCAGTATCTCATGCCTATTTATAAGTTTCTACATGTTTATATGGTGCCAATTACCTGCTAGGCCCTCGCTTAATTATGAGAACAGAGCGAGTAAGTACCTGTGGCCCCTGCTCCCCTGCAGCTGCTGGCCCAGTGGGGCCTGGAAGCACTAAATGGCAACTTAGGAAGTGTGGGTGCTCTGGGGGGTGGGGGTTGGGGGTCTCACAGGGCAGCGTGCCCAGGAGGGGAAACCATCCGGAAGACTAGATAGTTTCACATTCTGGAGTCCTTCCTCAGCTCCAGGGCCAGAGAGGAACAACCACAGAACTTTCTCCTGGCCATTGCAATCCCTTCTGTCTTCCCTTTTTCTCACTTATTTTATCCTCTCACCTTCATCTCACTTAAGTCATGGCTGCCCTTGGCTCCTTAAGATCATCCCCTCTATTCTTTCTGGAAATTGGACTCTAAAAGATCCTCCTGGTTTCAAAATCTACCCCAAACATGTACAAAATAAAGCCCAGAAAACTTTCTGTTCACCACAAATTCTAGTCCAAAATGCTTCAATGAGCCTGGCCTGTGTGGCTCAGTGGTTGAGCACCAACCTATGAACTAGGAGGTCACAGTTCAATTCCCAGTCAGGGCACATGCCCAGGTTGCAGGCTTGATCCCCAGTATAGGGCGTGCAGGAAAGCAGTACTCTAATTCTGTAGCATTGTAACAATACTTCATTGGAGAAAAGAACATCTTTTCTCCCTTATGCTATAATACTTAGTCTTATTATTAAAGATTAAACTGAAGCCCTTAAATACCTTTGGAGTTTTTTAAAAAACTCACACACACACACACACACACACACACACACACACACTAGAGACCTGGTGCACAAATTTGTGCATGGGTGGGGTACCCCTGCCTGGCCGGGGATGGGGCCAATCTGGGCCACAGGAGGCCAGTGGGGGGAGGGGCTGCGGGAGGTTGAACGGCCTCAGGAGGTTGGATGTGGGAGTGCACTGACCATCAGGGGGCAGCCCTTGCATTGAGCATCTGCCCCCTGGTGGTCAGTGTGCATTATAGCAACTCGTAACCAGTCATTCGGTCATTCGGTCGCTTAGGCTTTTATATATATAGATATTTTTAATTTTAAAAATGCTTCAGTGAAATGGTCCCCATGCAAGTAAACAGAAAAATCTACACCGAAGTTAATCAGAAACAGAGGGCATGGCTGGCCGAGGGTGGCTGCAGGGACTTGAGTCAGGCTCCTGCAGGCACATCTCTCCAAACTTTAGGAGCCTAACAGATGCAGTTTTGAGGCACCTAAAATATCTCTCTATTTGCACTGTCTCAAATAAATTCATATTTAAATCTCAAGGAATGTTTTAAGGTGAACTGGCTATAGGCTCAGTGAGTGGTGAGAGCAATGAGGGGTCACAATGGTCAGAATAAGCTGTTAGACAAGACCACGTTATGGGTGGTGGGGGTGTCTAGTCAGTGGTAGCTGAGTGAGTGAAGAGGAAGGGATCTGAGTGCACAGGGCATACCCCTGTGATACAGGGAGGATAGCTCCGTACTTTCCTCTGTGTCTTTAATTTACAAAACCTCGGCAAGTAAATTAAGCCATTGGATGCTTATATAATCCTGTGAGATTAACAAGGCAGGTATATTTAATTTTTAGTTTGCAGAATAGAAAACTTGTCATACAGTTAGGAAAAGTCGTGGCAGGACTAGGACCTAAGTCCCCTCTGACTCCTGACCCAGTACTCTGAACTAACCAAACCAAAACCCAATTTGACTAGAACAAAAGGCTTCTTATAGGGTTACGTTTGGAAAAGCAGGTGAGGGATGGACTGTGGATGGCCTTGACCATCAGACAAAAAAGCCTGAAATTTCTACAGTCCAGTTGTTAAAGCTTTTGGAACAAAAAGGATTTCACTGAAAACCAGAGCAGCAGGGGTTGGTCTGCCGCAGTTTGGTGGGTGTTGGAAGAGTGGAAAAGCCAGCCGGCAGCAAGGCCAGTTAAGATACTACTTTACTGCCAGTCAGCATGGACTTAAATGTCTTTTTTGTTGTTTGGGGTTTTTATTCATGTAGGATGTAGGACACATAAAACATAATAAATGAGCAGTAACTATTTACCAAATGATTTGCATAGCAAACCATATGAAAACAGAAGCTTACTGATAATAACGTGTCAGAGAAAACATGCCAACTTCCAGATATAGGTCAAAGTCTCTCTTTAATGGGGGGATAAGGACACATGTGTAATACTTTAATCAAAAAAGAAAAAAATGGTACTCGAGTAGCTAGTACAAAATAATAAAAGAGATTTCATGGACTTTTAGAATTAAAAAAGATCTTAAAGGTAAACAACTTCAAACCCTTATTTTATAATTAAACACTTGATGCCTGAGAAGTTGAAGAGCTTACCATGAAACCGCCAAACTTGAAAAGAAATAGACTGAAATTAATAACTGCTCCATCATGTGTGTTTGCATATGCACTAAATTAGCCTGGAAAAAGTTACCTGCAATGGAATGTTCTGATTAGCAGCCAGCCTTTTATAGATGTGATTTCTTTGAGGTTTCCATTCATTAACGTAACTACATTTTTTTCTGTGTTTGCATATTTCCTCCACTAGGAGCTAATTAAAGTCTAGATATTAAACTTTCTAATTTATGCATTTTATTTCATATTTAACATTTAGAATAGGAAGGACGTTTGGAGATACATTGATGTAGGTTTTTCAGATCAGGCAAAATATATTTTCTATTTTTAAGTTGTGAGAATGGATATTGGGGAAAATCTAAAGAAAAGAGAAAGAAAGTGTGCTTTTGTTGCCCGAGCACTTGTCCAATGATTTTCATTTCACCTTGGTCTGGACCATGCTGCAAAGCAACATAGTAATGACTTACTTTTTTTAAAAATAGGTATGACTTTTGCTCCAATAATGAAGAATCCTTTATCCTGGATCCTGACAGCAACATAGGAAACAGAATTGAGAGCATCACTCAGCGCACGGCAATAATAGAAGGAAAAAATAAGGTATTCTTTGTAACAATAAACATTGGGATACTTATTCTAAACACACACACTCAGCTCCCAGCTCTGGGTTTATTAGAACCAGAAATCACTCAAATGTTCAAACAAAAGTCCAGAGAGAAGAAGGTATTGAGATACCTCTTCATGGAGAGATGGTGGTGTTCTCCAGCCAACCACCAGGCCCAAGGAATGAGTACGCTGTCCCAACAGAAGAGGGGGAACTGCCTCTTGAACATCAGACTTGTCCACATCAGTGGTTCTCAACCCTGGCTGCGTATTCGAATACTCTCCCAATTATCTTTACTTTTGAATCTCTGGGGTGGAGCCCAGGTTCATGAAAGCTCACAGCAGATTCTGGCATGTAACCAGGACTGAGAATCATTTCCACAAATAAAGTAGGGTAGCAGTAAGCAAAAGCTGATATGGAATGTTCCCATTTCACAAAATATCTTGTTTTCCCCTCTGTCTTTGCAAAGGCAAAGCCTGACTAACACTGGGGTATACAAACACACAGAATCTCAAGATTCTCTGACTTAAGAGATGCAAATCAAAACCAGAATGAGATACTACTCACACCTGTCAGAAAGGCCATCATCAAAAAGACAAGAGATAGCAATGTTGTGAGGAGGTAGAGGAAAGGGAACCCTCCTGCACTGTTGGTGGCAATGTAAGTTGGTGTAGCGGCTATGGAAACGAGTATGGAGGGTCCTCAAACAATTAAAAATAGAACTACCATGTGATCCAGCAATCCCACTTTTGGGTGTATATCTGAAGAAAATGAAAATACTAACTCAATAAGATATACACACCTCTATGTTCATTACAGCATTACACACAATCGCCAAGATTGTGTTCAACCTAAGTGTTCGTTAATGGATGAGTGAATAAAGAAAATACGGTGTGTATCCACAACAGAATAATATTTAGCCATAATAACGAATGAAATCTTGCCATTTGTGACAACATGGACGGATGTTGAGGACATTATGCTAAAATAAATCAGAGAAAGTCAAATATCTCACTTTATGTGGAATCTAAAGCAAACAAACAAACTCATAGATACAGAGAAAAGATTGGTCATTGCCAGAGGCAGAGGATGGGGGTGGGTAAAGAAGATCAAAAGGTACAAACTTCCAGTTAAAAATAAATAAGTCCTGGGGACGTAATGTGCAGCATGGTGACTATAGTAGTAATACTGTATTGCACGTGTGAACGTTGCTAAGAGAGTAGATTTTAAAAGTCTCATCACAAGAAAAAATCGTAACTATATATGGTGACAGGTGTTAACTAGAGTTTTTATGGTGACCATTTGTAATATATACAAATATTGAATCATTATGTTGTACATCGAAACTTATATAATGTTGGATGTCAATTATATCTTATTAAGAAAAAGAGAGACTTCAACCTTTCCTCCCACAAAAAAAAATCTTCTGATCTCATCAGGGTCTAGCAGGCGTCTTTTCTGCCACTCCTGTACTGTTCGTTCTCTACTCCCCTAACCTCCACTGAGCCTTAGCAGAGCTGACACCTTGTAAACCATGCAAATATCAGTGGATCTCAGATCTGGTGGCTTTTTTTTTCTTCGATTGAATTAGTGAAAAATACACATAAAAAAACTGTGATTACAGGCATGGGGTAGTGATAATTTTAAAAGTAAAAAATAAAATGATCAAATAACCCCTTGCTGAAATGTCTATTTCTACTTGCATATCTTGATTTGGAGTAGTCTGTTACTGTGAATGCCATCTGCTGGAGTGTGATTATGCCTATTTATCTATTTATTTGGCTGTATTCTTTGCACTTGAAGGTGACAAAGTAAATGGCATCATTTTCTAGGTAGGATTTGACAATAACAGCAAGTAACATCTGAACTCATTGTGTGAAACTTTTTGACATATGCTAATGTCAATGTCATTCTTAGGCTGACCAAAGTGGTTATCTCCATTTTAAAGATAAGAAAAACTGGGGTGATAAGATGATTAATTCAAAGCCACACGGCTTAAAGTGGCAAATGCAAAGCTCAAACCAAAGTCTTCCTGTTCCCAAACCCAGGCCTCTGCCAATTTAAGCCCATACAGAAATCAGTTCAAATGGTGACGGCTGGCATGATACTATCAGCAATCATTTGTCAAGGCTTTAGGAAACGTTTTTATAACTAGCAGCAGTTGTAGGTGGTTTAAATTTTTCTCTCTAATACAAATGAACAGTAGTTTAAAATATTCCATGATGTGTAACTATTGATGAGAGAGCCGTTTACTGAAATACTTAGGAAAGGGGAAATTCTATAAACTTGAAAGTTAAATTTGTGACTGCATAAAAAAAAGAAAAAGAAATTGCCTCAGGATAGAAATCAAGTTAGTTGTCACAAAGTACTAGAAGTTTTCCAGATGCCGTTGATCGTGTCAATTCAATGTGCCTTTTCCTGACCATAACTGCTGGACATTAAAACAGATCTTAGAAACTTAATTTATGTGGTAACTTCTAGTCCTATTTTGGTATCCTATCCTCAAAAATTCTCAATAGGAAAGAAAAAGGAAAATGAGAAAGCTAGGTGAGGTCTCTAAGTAGCCTGAACCATGAAGTAGCGACCTGACTCCATAGAGAATACCTGTGAGAAACGGTGGGAGTCGAGGAACAAAACCAGGGTTAGAAAAAGGAACTTCCCTGATTTACATGTAATTTTGTAGTGATGCAAAGGTTTTAAATATAGATTTCCAGACCCAGTTGGCACTTGTGCCATCCCACATGCAGTCAGGAGCCCTGGGACCCAGCTCCGGCCACTTCCTATCCTGTATAACGACATGCAGGCCAGTTCACCTCTCTGAACCTGTGTTCTCTCCTCCAAAAAATGGAGCTAGAAATATCTGCCCTCCCTAATTTGCCTGTTGCTATGAAGGTGATTATTATATAGACCCTAATGCAATTCCAAAATTGACTGTGATCGTACATAATAAAGACTATTTGTTCAACAATTATTTGCAATGAAAAAAACAATACTTTCTAAACAAAGTTTGAGATATATAGGTATATTTATATACATGATACCCTATTAGTAGCTGCAACTGCAACACAGTCTTTAAGTAAATTATGAATTTAACGTTTTAAATTTAAAAGAATTTACTACTTTCACTTTTAGCATGTATTAATATATCTTTTGCGTATGAAAAATTATCTTTCATATAATGATGACAAAGGGAAGTTTTGCTATTTCAGAATGATTTGCACTGGTCTTCTCTTTACAACTAAAACTTTTATTTTCTGTATATTTTACAAAAGTAAAGTCCCACCCTAGACTATGTGAACTCTTCCCTGTGGTCACAGTGCGGGCATGCCCAGCAGCACACCCACAGGTCAGTGGATGGTGGGCCCGCTGGAGCACCTGTTCGATTTCAGGGACTTGAATTTTTTCTCTTTGTTTTGTTTTGCTTTTTCCATGTAATTCAAGTCAGGGTGCAGGGGACAATAAAATTCAGTTCCTTACTGGCAAGTTTTGGCCTAGATTTGTGAGAAGTGAGTCATCAATGGAGTTACTAATAGCAAACGTGGCATTTCATATTGTTTAAATGGGGCAGCCAGGCTATTGATTGGGTCTGTAGATATGGAGTAGGAAGTAGAAGGAACCCTGTGTTAGAAAAAACACACACTCAGGAAATACTTATCACAGCATTAGTTCTGGGAGGCTGGAGAACTGTGACAACCTTACAACATTTTAGCAACATTTCCACTGAAATTGTTTTGAGGTGAGAATGAGAAATGCGTCCACGGTATGAGGCAAACCCATGACGGAGCCCGAGAGCCTAAAGCAGGATGACAGCTTGTGTTGCATTTCCCACACACTCCCCCGTTTTTCCTAATTCTCACGTTCCGTTCTCCCATCACTTGGCTCAGATGTGCCGCCCTAGGTTAAATTTAGATTCTTCCATGACCTCTCTCCATGTCTACTTTTATTTCTCTCTGAGACACTTAAAAGGAAACTATATTAGAAACATTCCGAGATTAAAATCACTGTTCCATATATAGATTTTTTGTAAATGAATGCTGGAGATTAGGCTGAATTACACATCATCCCATCCATCCCATTCCGTGAGGCTCAACCGCATTGTAGTGGTGACTAATACTTAGCGAAAGGGAAGGAAGGAATATGAATAACTTCCAAACTTACAGTACCTGACGACAGTTTTCATCAGCATTCCTGAGTCATACAAAGGAACCAGAGAATGGCCTTTAAGAGTCTGTTTCTAGTGTCTAAATTCTCAAGGTCGTGGCAGGGCAAGTAGAGGCACCCCCAAAGTCTGGGTTCAGAACTAAAAAAAAACAAAACCAATATTGTGGCAAATGAAAACTAATTACAGAAATAATACAAGCATAAATCTTGGAGAATTTCTTTTGGTGTACCTTATAAAATAAATGATTATAATTTCAAACACATTTCACAACTCAAATTCTTGGCACTTTGTCTTTTAAAGTATTAAGTTGATATTTGGTGTTCCAACTGTTATGCTACTTTTATCTTTTCCCCTTGGAACAGTCATATGAGCACCAGGGGATATATCTGTCCCTTTAACTCAGAAGAGTCCTGCATTGAGATGTACCTTCCTCTGTCCAGACAGTGTATAGTCACCTACAGCTCACACTCGAGCTCTTTTTCCTGACCCTATAAAGTTTATACTTTAGCTAAAGATAGATTTTGTTTTTTATGCAAAATATGTTTTAATTTATATTCTCTGGAAAAAAAGAGAACTATCTAGAAATCAGATAGTTTTTAATAAAGCTGATCATAGGATACAAGTTTCATCTTATTTTTAATTTTTTTCACTCCTCAATCATATTTTCAAACTCTATAACACTGTATTCATTGAAAACTAGCTTGCAGCTTATGTAAAATACAGTGGGGCCTTGACTTACGAGTTTAATTCGTTCCGAGACTGAGCTTGTTAAGGAGCTCGTTAACTCAAATTACTCTATCAACTCAATGCAAAAAATCGGCTGAGAGACAGCTGGTATCTCAAAAAACTCGTTAGTCGGGACACTCGTAAGTCAAGGCCCCACTGTACTAAGAAAGAAACTGGTCTTTCTTGTACATAGTAGCATTTAGCTTATATAGTTTATCTCTGCTGACCAAAGGATGTATTCTTGAGGAAAAACCCAATTCAAAAAATAGAACTCTAGCAATAAATCTGTGCTATTACATTTAAAGACTTTTAGGCGAGAAGCAGTTTGGTATAAAGATTGAGCATAGGCACTGGCGTCAGACAAACCTGGACATAGTTCTGCCCAGCTCTGTCTGTGCTGCTGCGTATGTTTGAGTGAGTCATGGAGCCTCTATAACCTCAGCTGCCGCTTCTGCAGAAGAGGGCACCTCACCAGCTCCTCTCCTTTCCTCCCATGACTTTTAAATGGCGGGCGCCAGAATTCAAAGGAGATGTCTACCCAGAATTCTTTTATTTCCCACCTCTTATTAATCTTAAAGATTAATAATCAAAATAGGGAGACACCTGAGCTCCCTTTCATATTCTTCACTGTTTATCTGTCTTCGTGTGAGTGCTCCTCTGCAGGAGAGAGTAATATGTATTTGATCTCCAAGTAGGGACATTCTTCTCTATCAACTTAAGGTTAAGAATATCCTTCAAGGTTAAGAATAGGGATTGTGTCATATTCACCTCTGTCTCCCTTAAAACATCTGGGCAATGCCCAGTAAATGTCTGCTTAATTGAATGCAAAATGCCACATATTGTAGATACTTTCATTTCCAATCATTTCAATGCACAGAGGATAAATGGTGTGTGCAATTAAACAGATGCAACAAACAGAAGATGAATCATTTATGCAATCCTCACTATACCATAGTGGAATTACAGAGAATTTGGAGCAATGACCTTGGCTAAAACATGAGTATATTCTTAGTCTTCCTGATTTGTAGAATAAAGACAGAAATACCTTACTGAATAGGATATGAGAACCTGTAAAGTGCCTAGCACATTACTTAGAAACTCAGAAAAATGTTAAGATGTTTTGTATTCACCACTTTAGGAAGCCCACGATCACATTTCAGCCTACATATTACTTTAGCCTGTAGGTCACTCAACCACTATCCTTCAGCTAGGACACTCCATTAGTCTGGAAGCTTCAGCACAGCCTCTATCATTTCAAACCCAGCCATCTGTGTCTTAGGAGATAGGCTGCAATAATTTATAAGTAATTAGATCAACATTTTCAAAATAATTTTAAATATGAAAAACTTGCTCTTTTGTTTTTCCTATATGGTATGTATCACTTTTCTGCAAGGTTGGGTTGGATTTTAAAACCAAATAATTTTTTTTCATGTAACTAATTTTTATCTTTAAAAGAAGATAACAATGCAAGCCTTTAAGCTGTACAAATGTGTGTTTTAGTACTTTTGAAATATCACAGTTTGTAACGTGCTTTCAAATTCATACACATTTGACTCCTATTGCCTTTTTAGGGACTAATTTGTCAAATAGCAGCACTAAAGTCTAGTGAAACTATAGTGTGTTAATTTGTAACCTATATCTTCATTTCCTAGATAAGGAACTGACAGACTGAGAAGTTAAGTAATTTACAAACACACACAATAATCTTAGCGGGCTTTCCTGCCTCCCCTCGGCACCATCGGGACCGCAGGGCCACATTCTGTGAGCACATGAAAGCAATGGTTCAGCCAGCCGTTCTCTTCTGTCCTTGCTAAGGCTCCTGTTCCCAAACAGCAGCCACTGGCTCAGGTCAGCCCAACAAAGGAAGGCCTCCGCCTCACCTGGTGCTCTCATTCACGTGGGCTGACCACCTCAGAGGGTAGGACGTGCAGTCCCGCATCTCAGCCTCAGGTCTGTAATTGTTGTGCCAGCAGCATGAGATAAATAAGCCTGAAACCCTCGTCCGAGTCGGATGTCATAGCCCCCGGTCTCCTGAGGACCTGCTTTCCTGTTATTTTTTCCATTCTTGCTGGGGCTCGGAAAGGGGAGAGCCTTCTGGTAACCACTACTTGTGCAATGACTACCTTTGTTGAATGAATGAAATAGCTGAATCATTTCAACCCTCAGAAGTAGGTGATGGATGTTCAAACGGTTCTTTGTCCTATCACTAACTGAAATTTCTTTTTCTTTTGTAGACCGCTAGCTCCTTGGTTGTGGTTGACTCTAGAATTTCTGGAATCTACAGCTGCATGGCTTCCAATAAAGTAGGGACTGTGGAAAGAAACATAAACTTTTACATCACAGGTAAGCCACACACCTTATACTCACAAAAACAGCCTGGTGACCTGTCTCTCTTCAAGTCTTGTTTGCTTTTAGTGCACTCAGAGATAGAGTGATTTTTGTTTAAAGAAAACACTCCATAGAATTGTTAAACTTTGAACAATTTCATCCTTGCTCTTAGGAACAGTACCATCATTGAATCTTCTAAAGAATAGTTTCCCTGCATTCTCTTTTAGAGCCATTTGTGGATGTCCGGCTCCCAGGCTGGATTGTGAATTTGGGATCTTGTCATGTTCATTTTTTAATTCCTTCAGTACCTGGCACACAGTGGTTGTTCAAGAATAATCAAGGAGCCCTGGCAAGGTGGCTCCACTGGTTAGACTCGAGCATCGTCCTGTGCTCCAAAAGGTTGCGGATTTGATTCCCAGTTGGGGGCATATGGGAAACAACCAATCTCTCTCTCTCTCTCTCTCTCTCAAATCAATAAACATATATCCCTGGGTGAGGATTTTAAAAAAGAATAATCAAGGAAACAAGTTATAATACATATGATAACATTTTTTAAAACCAGAAAGCTAATTGTTTCACAAGTTAATTTTAACTTTTTGGAAAATGAGACTCTCCTATGGAAATCTGAAGCTGGGCTTTGTTGACAATAAGTAATGTACTCTTTCTTGGTCGCATATAAGAATTGTTAGCCTTAAATAGGACCGTCCTGCAAATCTTAAAACTTCCAAGGTACGCAAAGGGCACTCCCTATGTCCCTCCATGGGTACAGGAAGGAAGTAAGTAGCTCAAAGTATAAAAACAATTGCCTGGCTCCACACTCCCCAATTTCTGAGGAAGCCTGGGCAGTTTGCCAACTCTGGAAACTTCGCACTGCATGAGGAAGGCTGCAGGAGTTGCCTAGAGTTCTCCAGAAAGAAAGAATAGGTCTGGTTTCACGAGACCGCGTGGGCTGTCAGCTCACAGGGAGTCTCTGGCGAGTCAGCCAACCCTCTGAGAAGCTCCGTGGAGACACCCTGAGAGGCTGTCACAGAGCAGCAGAGCTGGGCGAGATTCAGAGGCATTCTAGCCCTGCATTCTAGCCCTGCATTCCCCAGATGAGGAAATGGCTTTGGAGATGTGGGGAGGCACACAGCAGAGCCGCTCTAGACTGGCTCAGTCCTCTCAGATTCGAGAAGTGGAAGGGAAATCATCTTTGCATCCATTCCAAGTAGGAAAACCCTTTCTTTCAAGGATTCAAATAGTAATTTCACACAGATACAATCTCAGATGATTTGGACTAATTAAATATCAAGGTTTGTATTGTCCTATATATTTGGTTGGAAACAAGTTACCCAAATCCATAGCCACTGTATGTGTGATTTAGAGGACAAAAGACTGAGCAACTCCTGTTCTGTTCTGAGCAGTCAACACGTTTGTACAAGTTTAACAGCACCTGCTGGTAGATAGTCCCGCTCGACTCTGCAGCGGGCACTTGCAGAGATATCAGTGAAGCCCTGTCTTTCTAGAAAGACATTTTAACACCCAGGAAACAAAGAAGAAATGTTAAAGTATATATATCCTAGTATCCAAAGGTTTGTGCAGAAGTAATGTGATGGACAAACTTACCAATGGTAAGCCAATGCTGTCCAATTGAAATATAATGTAAGCCACATATGTAATTTAAAATTTTCTAGTATCCAGATTTTTAAAAGCAAAAAGAAAAAAGTGAAATTAATTTTACTTAACCCAATATACCCAAAATAGTATCATTTCAAGATGTCATTGACATTTTAAATATTATACTGCTTCCATTTTTAAATTAATTGAAATAAAGACTTGAATGAAATCCTTCAGTCACACTAGCCATGTTGTAAACACTCAATAGCCACATGTGTCTGTGGGTTCTGTACTGCACAGTGTAGCTGGAAGCCTCTGCGACGAAAGCAGGATGCGAAATGTCCCTGGATTTGAGGGGGCACTGAGGGGGATTCACATCTGAACAGGTGGAGAGAAGATAATCTCGCCCTGGCGTCCACATTCTGCCCACACCCCTCATGAACAGTCTTCCTTGGACCTAGCAGTGTGCCCAGTGACAAGTGGTCTGACATCAGGAGGACAGACCTAGCGAAGAGGAAAGAGACTGAGACCTGGAAACAGACTTGGGATCACCTTTACAGGGAATTCTGGGATCCCAGAGACCCCAAGAAAGATCTAGAAGTGGGGTTAGCATAGACTCTGGGTGGACATGCCCACTTGGCCCACAGACTCTTTACATTGTGAAGAGGGACAGCCAGACAGAGCCATCCAAAGGCCCAGGACAGGGAGCCCCTCTTGCTGAGTCTGAAGGCAGTACTGGAAGCGCACGTTCACAGAGTGGAGGGGAAGGGCATGCTCATTTCCATATCGTTCAGCACCCCCCCCCCCGGAAAGGTTCACTGGTGCCCAGCATGAACTGCAGCACCAACATCTCGCCTGTCCGTCCCTCTGAGTTCTTCCTTGCCGCAGCCTATATCCACGCTGAGAGGTGCCCATCAAGCTAATCAGCTGAATTCAGAAATTCCCTCTCACCTCCCACCACGTTATACACTTAATAACCATGGAGTGGTTGAGACCTTTCCTAGATCTCAAGGCTTGTCCACAGAAAGAGCAATGAGAATTCAATTCAAATATACCTACTTGAAGCTCTCGCCAAGTTTCCTCTAGGAATTCAGGAGCTTTAATCTTAAAACTGAGCACAAATTCAGCCCATCAAGCCTCCATTTCCTGGAATATAATTTCTCTGAATTCTTGTCTACCAGTCCTGAAAAGTTCTAGTTGGTGATAAGATTGGTGATAACAGATTCATTTGCTTACACGCGTTATTTTAAAACTAATTATTATCTTTTTCTTACTCACATTTTTGTCACGAGACTTACTCTCACAAGAGATGAGACTGAATACTGTTTGGTACGTTGCACCTCACATGTCTGTTATCTGTGTTTCTTCTTGGACCCGGTGCAGATGATGCTTTAAGAGATCTGTCTGAAATTTAACTGCTTTAAATCTAGATCTGGATTTGGATCTTTATTGAGCCTCATTTCCATCATGTTGCCCCTTAAACTACAATAATAACTTACAGTTGCCTTCCAAACTGATGAAAAGTAGTTACCTGTGGCCACTAGAACCCTCCACTGCTTCAGCCCTGTGCTGTGCCATTATGTGTACACGGTAGCTACTTGAAAAAGCAAAACTTTCTAGTAACCACTCACTGTCTTTTTAGAGAATGTTATTGCTATTCTCCACTAGAAGAGAAGCCTTCTTTACCCCGCCCTGACAAATGAGGCACCTTTCATCCTTTCCGTTTATATGCTTGTCTCATGAACTCAATTCACGTGCTTGACCAACCAAGTCTGAATGTCTACCCCCTTTGAGAATAGATGACTCACCTAACCTTAGGTTGAATGTCTCTCCTCTCTCCTGAGTAAGCATTGATTCTTCTCCTTGACACCTCATAAGCTGCCATGGGTGTGAAACATGTTAGATAGATGAGCATTAGTTGGTGCTGATGATGCTTGTACTGAATCTTCAATGGATACTTAAGTGTGGGAAGATTTCTTGTTTTCACTCTGAGAGTTAGAAGGCAATTCTTTCTTGGGGTTGTTTTTGTACTCAGGCAAAAAAAAAGAAAATCAACATGAATTAAGGAGAAAAATCCCTCTGGATTCATGAACTCATTTTAGGACATTTTATTTATTATTTTCTATGGATTTAAAAGAGAATACCAAATGGGTGATGCTGAGAAATAGGTCATCATTTCTAAGAGGCTGTCTGATAACGTACACCAAATTAGCTTCAGTGACAGTGCCCCCCATGTGGGAAATGGACCTCAAAACCCATTTGGTTCTTTTCTTTTCCTCTGTGTGTGTTTTTGCTGTTTGCTGGCACTCAGCATGACTATGGGTGTGTTAGCAATTACTGAGTGTGAAACAGGAACAGCACTGCCTTATCTCCCTGGCTTCCCAATGTCACTAAATGCATTTTATTTTGAGATTCCTGGTGGTGCTTGGCAAAGATAAACAAAATCTTCCATCAGGAAACCTGTGAGCTAATTTCCACAGGAAGTTTCAAATCACTGAAGTAAATAGAAACTCTACTTGCTCTCAATGGTGTGACTTGGGCTCACTTAGGTTCTAATACCAGATGAGACCTCATAAATGGAGTCTGTGGTCTTTAAATAAATGCTTTGATTGCAACCAGTACACAACACTTCTGTTCTAGTGTGTGTGTAAGGGTTGATGGCTGCTGTTTTAATCCTTATGCTTGGAAAATGTCCCAAGTATAAAATGATGCTAAGTTACAGGGGCTATTTCTGACATCTTATTGTTATCTTAAAAATGATTGTCAGCTGCTTCTGCATCTTCTGGCACATCCTTAGGTTTTCATTTTTAAAGCAGGAAAGCCTCCACTGGTCTCCTCTCTTTCCAACTACTGACAGCTTCATAAGCCACTGTTATCCCCGCTCCCAGGTTTCAAATGAATACTTTGGCATTTCTTCAGACGTGACACTTTATAATAAAGCCAAAGCCCAGAAAAATCAGAAAAACAAGCAAAGTGAGATTTAGGAAAGAGTTGATATGATATCTAATTTTGGACTATTGTCCCTTTAAGGTTTAAAGGTTTCTTTATAGCTTTGTGTCCAAAGGATAATAATAATAATAGCATAACATAGTGCTTTTCATCTTCAAAGTACTTTGTAAAATGTTGGCCCAAATTCTCTGCTCAAATACAGATACGCCACTAGTAACAGGCAATGCAAGGGTTTTGAGAGCAGATCCGTTCAGGGCCAGTAACCAATGACTTTTTGGAATCCTCTGGTGAAACGGTCCAGGATGAGACGAGGAACTCTCAAGGCAGAAGCTAAACGATGGTCCAGGGAAGGAAAGCTCAGGAGGAAGCTCAGGAGGTGTTGCCGGGGCACGTAGAGTTGGAGATGAAGGTTCGCTGGGAGTGGACATTGGAGAAAATGGCTTTTAATGACAGTCACTTTCAGAAAATGTTGAATAAGCTTTTGATTTTTTAAAAATGATTTTCCCTCCCACGACTGCCCCCATATTGGAATCCAGCAACTCTTCCAGATTAGTTGTCCACATTTTCAGAAGACATCTTTTCTCTTTTGTGGCTGGGTGGAACAACCACCAGTAGGGAACCTGAGCAAGTAAGTTGGCTCTTCTCTGCACACTCTGCCCACTGTGCCAGCAAAGAGCAGGCAACGTAGTGGGACAGCAGCTGGGGACCCAGTGCAGGAAGCTTGGGAAGTCAGTCGCTCTTTTACTGGATGCGTGAGGACTGCAGTGGTGTTGACTGGCAGGACTGGATCTCTTAACATGTACCTGGGACTTCCTAGTCTCACCACTTATTTTGGATAAGTTTGATGATAAAAGCATCTTTGAATTTTAGTACAAATTGCTATTATCACTTTACTATTTTGTCCATTTACCAGTAGTTCTGTCCATGGTAAAGAAATGGGAAATGTAGTTATCATCCCAAGTTGTACAAAAAAAAATTCAATTTTGAAGAGCAGCTTGAGGCAAATAAGAAAAATGTCTTATCATACTAACTGTCCTGTTTGGCATTTCCTGCTTCTGATGGCATGAACTTAGTTGGTTCCCACCTGCTATGTTTGAGCAAGTCCCCTAAAATAAACAGACAAATAGTCATTTTTTTAATGCCGATGCTGAGAGAATCTCTGCAGGAATAATTCAGCAGATCTTTGAATATCTCATGACAAGATATTGCCTCCGTATGACACTTGTTTTTCTATGAACCAAAGTTCTTTATTCTTATTTTATAGATGTACCAAATGGGTTCCACGTTAACTTGGAAAAAATGCCTACGGAAGGAGAGGACCTGAAACTGTCTTGCACAGTTAGCAAGTTCTTATACAGAGACATCACTTGGATTAAGCTGCGGACAGCTAATAACCGAAGCATGCACCACAGGATTAGGAGGCAAAAAATGACCGTCATGGAGGAGCACTCCATCACGCTTCACCTTCTCATCAAGAATGCTTCCCTGGAAGACTCAGGCACCTATGCCTGCAGAGCCAGGAACATATACACAGGGGAAGACGTCCTTCAGAAGAAAGAAGTTACAATTAGAGGTGAGCACTGCAACAAAAAGGCTGTTTTCTCTCGGATCTCCAAATTTAAAAGCACAAGGAATGATTGTACCACACAAAGTAATGTAAAACATTAAAGGACTCATTCAAAAGTAACAGTTGTCTCATATCATCTTGATTTATTGTCACTGTTGCTAACTTTCTGGCTCAGAGGAGATGCTCCTCCCAAAATGAGTTTGGAGATGATGGGAGTAATAATGAACCCCAGGCCCACGCGGGGCTCCCCATCAGGCTGAGGGTCTCTGGGACCCACCTGGTGACCTGGTGCGCGTTTGGATTTGGAGGATCCCGGCAGGCACTCTGTGCTTTTGCTCTTTGCTGTCTCCTGCCTGATAAACACTCAACTGGAAGCTGATCCTTTCCTTCCACTTTGATGCCAACCTCTTTTTATTTTTAAGTTTCAAAGCTGCACAAACTGAATAATTTAAACAGATGCTGGTTTCTGCCAAAGATGGACATGTATAAGTTAATTTTCCAGCTCAGAATGAGTACAGTTGAATTTGAGACTCTGTCGGACCTCTGCCTGGTTCTATTTTGTATTAATTCGCCTGTTTTTCATTTGTAAATAGCACCTGGATAGCACATTATAATGCTTATTTATTTGAAAATGCTTTTTTTTTTACATTAAGCACATTAATCTTAAACTGGAGCTCTAAAATGGGTCCCATGGGTGCAAGTGTTGGTATAATTCAGAGGTGTTAACAGTTTATCACAGGATGAATCAGGAAAATCCACCCAAATCAAGCCCACTCTGGTCTTAGGCAATTCTGGGTAGCTTTCCAGACCAGTGGCCAGTTTCCTCCTCACTGCTCCTGAGTGGACTAAACAGCTATCCTGAGAGAAAGAGGATCATGCCTTTGGTTTAAATATTTTTGTCCCCTGGTTAGTCTTTTAAAGAGCTTTGTCCTGTTTAATTAATGGCATTGAAGGGTGTGCCACAATCAATTATTAAACAAATAAAGGCCATTGTGACCAGAAGTTTAAGATTAAGGCATTCTTCTAAATGTAAATCTAAAAATGTGCCCACTAAAAAAAGTCTACTTCCTCATATTCCTATGTTAATAGGATTTTTATGGGGATTAAGAAATAGCATAACTACAGAAGCAGAATTCAGAATCATTGAAAAATAAACATTTTTAAATCAAGACAAATTGTATCTCTTGTTTCAAGCTTGCATTTGAGGGGAAAGTGACTTTTCCCCCCTCCAGTTTAATGTGTACTGTTCTGTTGTTTTCATTTATGATTGATCATTATATGTGACTTGCATGAACTATTGGAAAATAAATCATACTGACCGAAATAGCCATGGCTGAGAACACAGTGGCTGGGCAGTCAACAAGAGCTGACAATATGACAATGTTTCAGGCTTGGGAACTCTCTTGACTGTTTCCTACTTTAGGTAACAGGCTCTGTCCCACGGCTAAACTTGTCTTTCACGTGGGAATTGCTTTTGTCAAAGTGTGAAAGAGTAAACAATACCATTTCCCCAGAATGCCAGTTTTATGGAGCCCCGAATGCTCTGAAAACAATTAGTAACCTGGAAGTTGTCAGCCCAAAGGAAAGAATAATCAATTGTATCTTTTACCTATGGCTCTTGTGCCTGGCGTCTTTGTTCATTATAAGTCAGTGTGTTCCTTCAGGAAACAATGCGTTAGGACCCCAGAGCTTGGGAGCCTCCATTTCTAGGAAAGCTCAAAAAGTAACTGGAATGGTTGGGGGAGTGCTTCTGAAAGCATGATGAATTGGACATGCAGAATGTATCATTTCCTTTCCCTTAAAATTGCAATTTTCATGGAGAGGGGAAGGGTCTTTATATTCACAGAAGATGATTTTAAGCACTTCCACGAGATGATTTTAAGGATGCTGTAATTGTTCACTGTGTAATTAATCCTTACAGAGAGTTTCAAAAGAAAAAAAAACATTTAAAAAAATTAGTTACTCTTTTGAGTGCGGAGTAAGGGGAGGATAACAGGAAAAAGGAAAAGAAAAGAGCCAGTGTGGAGAATGAGTGCGATGGAGTGGAGGGCGTGAGGCTGGTTCCTCGGTCCCCATTCCAATGGAGAACAGACACTATTCATCGGGCCTGGTGACACCGAAAAGTGTCAGTAACACCGAAAAGTAAGAGAAGAGCCTGATGGGAGCTCTCTTTGGCTATTGATAACCAGCAGAAATATTGTGTTCTTTCTGATTTTCTCAGTTTGAAGGGATCAGCTCCAGTTAACTTTTGGAAAGCAGCTACCTATAGCCATCAAATAACTTAGGTTTAAAAATATGGGTTTGATGTACTTTTTTTACTTAAAATGTCAAAAGAGATTACTATAAAGCATAAAGTGGGAATAGATAAAAATGATTCCTTGATTGATTGATTATTTAGAAACTAGCAAAAAAAGAGAATTTTCTCATAAGAGGATGTTTTTTCAGAAATGGGTACAAAGAAAAAAAATCATAATGCTGTATGTTTCAGGCATGTTTATGTAAAGTTTGTACTTAATTGAAAGTCCTGTGTTTATTCTGCAGCCTTTCTGCTGTTTCTCTTGTCTGAAGTTTGTGTAGGACAGATAGAGCCCTTGGGAGGTCTTCATGACTTTTTTTGTTAAAAGCAAATGTTCTCGTCTACATAAGCATTGCTTTCCAGTACACCTGCCAGGAAAGCACAATTCTGCCTGTGCTGATGATGTTACCGGTTTTAGCTATGAAAATTATCTGGGTGCTGGAGGCCCTATATTCAGGCTTTCTTCTTATAATAAGGCCCGTGGGCAATGATAGGTTATTTTAGCATTTTCAGCACATGGGAAATAGCAAATGTGCTCAGAGAGCCTATTAAAAGAATAGCTCAGTGAACTGGGTCTGAGTTTTACTGAGATATGTCAAAGTTGGCTTGCCACTGTAAAAGACACTAAATAGTAAATGATACTATTCTTTATTCTCTTCCGAGTTTCACTGGCGTGTCTAGGGTCTTTCCCATGTAAAACTGTAAACATTGTAATGATCAGGCATGTTACCAAAATTAAAGATTTTGATAGATGGCTGCATTTTCCACCAGTAAAAGCAATTTGACAGATTGCACAGAATTCAGACCCAGAAATATTCAAATGGCTCTGCTTGGGGGCAAGATAGATGAGGAAAGACACACAGAAACAGGCAAAAGGATCATTGCTTTAGTTCATTCCACACAATGTTCGAAGCGTTTAAAGATCAGAGCATTTCCTTCAGCATTCTTATTTGACTTCAGATTTCATTTTGTGTAAAATGAGAAAAGACTAATGATAAGCTATGGAAATCAAAATTTAATGAGAAATCTGTTTCTTCTAACATAGTTACCCTACCATGTTATACTATATCAACATGTTTAAAAGTTGTATGATAATACACTTTTTAACCTGAGATCTCTAAATTGCTTCAATGAATGCTAATCCTGAGAGTTTCCCTGCAGGAATAAGAGAAAGGTTTGGGGACTCGGCAGAACCCTGCAGGGACATGGAACCAAAGCCATGGCAATGTGTCATCTCTTATAGCTTATAATCACTCCTAAGCTGCATTCACAGTGTTAGTACAATAAGATGAGGAAATCAGAAATGGTCAGAGAAAGCTCATAATTGAAACCAGTGACGCAGAATGTGTAAGTTATGCCAAAACTCTTTTGATTTCTGTTCCAGAATTTGCTACAAGGGGGCAAATGGATGACTTGGGAGGGTGGGAAAGACATTAGGAGTTGTCTTTATTCTTTTACCTTAAAAGCTTGAGCACCCACCTAACTAGAATGTATACACATCAGCAGGACTGACTACTTTATTAAATAGACACTGTACTCATTGGGGCCTTGGGGGTACTGCTGTTCCTATGTGGGATTTTAATGTTGTAATGTATTGCATCCTAATGTATTAAGTTCATTTTGTTGTACTATATTGGTTGGCATTTTATTAAAATAAATTGTATTGTATCATATTTGTATGTTTTAAGAGAAAATAATATAAAATACATTATTGTACTATTATATAGTGCAAAAACCACAAGTCTGTACCTCTGCCTCTTGAATGGATCCTTTGGTGGCTTGCATTTGGGAAGGGAACGGAGTAAAGAAAAAATCAATAAAGCTTTCAAAGTTCAAGAAATTCTCCTGTTTGGTCTGCTGCCTTGCAACTCAGGTTACTGACAGCTGAGTAACACAGACATGCCCTCACGAACACAGTGATGAAAGCACATACAAAATTATAGTAACTCATCACCACCATGCTATACATCTTCGTAAAAAGTCATTACAAACCTATATCCAAGATCATGTTTTTCCTTTCTAGTTCCAAAAATATTATGCAAAACTCCTTAGGTTTTAGAAATGCTTCTCTCAAAACAAAAAAAAGTAAAGAAAGAAAAATATCCTTGATATTAAAATCTAAAAATAAAGAATTTAGTTCATGATTTTACTCTGTGTTCTAATGAATTCCAATGTAGTGTACCAACTTACTAAAGAGGAAGCAGTAGGTTAATCATAGAAGATAAATTTAGGGAACAAATATGAATGAAACTTTATAGTCAAGTTTTGCTATTTATATATTTCAAATGTTGAGGTGCATATACAATAAAAAATAAAGCTGATGAGTAATAATTCTCTTTCTTTATTCACTAGATCAGGAAGCGCCATACCTCCTGCGAAACCTCAGTGATCACACAGTGGCTGTCAGCAGCTCCACTACTCTAGACTGTCATGCTAACGGCATCCCTGAGCCTCAGATCACCTGGTTTAAAAACAACCACAAAATACAACAAGGACCTGGTAAGAGATGCTTTCCTTGTGTTTACTCTTCCTCGTTGTCCCCTTCTTCCCTTAACGTTGCCACTGCTCCCAGCCAGTACAGCTAGAACCACCTGCGGATAGAGCTGCAAGAAACGGCTCGGGTTCATACTTATATCAACTTCCATGAGGACTGTGTGAGCCAGGTCCTATGCAGACCACATTGCTAACCCGATGGCATCTGCTGTAAACAGTGCATCAGACAGAAATGCTAAGAGCCACTCAGGAAAGGTTTCAGTTCACCTTGACAGCAGGAAAGTGTTGTGAGGATTAGTTCCTTGGCTTGAGGGATAGCGGAGCCTTGAACACTTGGCATGGATGAAGTTCAGAGTGGATTTATAATCTTTTAAATTCACTTATACCAATTTTAATGATTTGGTAAAAAGAATAATATTTTAAATGATATTTTATAATACTGGTAAATAAAATCTAAACTAATGGTCATTTGTTCATTTTTCTTCAACAAAAAATAAATTTTAAAGCAACTAGACTTAAATCAGTAAGTATAAACACCATCTATTGTTTGCCTCATCATTCTATGGTTAAATAAATTTAAAATAAACTTATTTATAATTCTGATTAATAATAACATTTATATTAAAAATAAATTTGCCATTTATTTGCAATACCACAACAACCTAAATCAAAGAATTGGCAATATGAAGTGGTTCTTAAATGTGAGTCTTTTATTCAAAGCCTCCATTTGAATTTAAAGCACAGAAAGGATTGTGGTATAATGACCTTTCTTTCACCCTACTCCTCTAATCAGTCACCAAGTTGAGCAGGTTAAACCTACTAATTACTAAATATTTCTCAAATCCATCCTTTCCTCTGCTTTCTTACTATTATTCTCTTGGTTCAGGCCTGTTATCTATCCTCTCAACATCTTCAGCTCTGTCCTAACCGGTCCCCTTAGCTCTCTTTTCTCTCTTTGTATCTATTTTCCGCACAGCTGTGTAAAATGCAACTGGGAACATGTCACTTTCCTTTCAAAGTGTTCCATTGGCTCTTCATCACAGGACCAAGTTCAAGCATCTGACAGCGAAATCCCTCAACAACTGCCCCTGACTACTCCTACAACTCACCTTAAACTTTATATTCTAGCAAGTGCCAAACTCTCGGAGACCACTGAGTACTCCTGGAGACCACTGCATACTGTGTGCACACACGTTATGCCACTTCAACCTACTATGCTTTTTCTGTTCCTATCTTCCTATCTTCCCTTCACCTAATACCTACCCATCCCTAAGTCCCAGATTGGGTGTTCACCCTCCAGAAAGCCTTACGTGTCTCCACAGAGAGGAGGCAGGTCCCCCATGAGTCTATTATTTATGAATGTTTCGATTCTCTCTTGCTGAGTTGTGTAATCATCAGTTCATATGTCTTTACTATCTTCGCATATTCCTATTGCCCTCTTACTATATAGTGATGTCTTTTATGGGTATACTCTCTTACTATCTGTGCATCATCATATCATGTCCTCATCCTGAAGGCAGATAGTGTAGCTGTGTCTTATTTGCATCTTATTTGTCTTTTCATCCTCAAAACCTGGCATAGTGCTTGGTAATCAATAAATGTTTCATGAATGAATGAATGAATGAATGAATGAATGGTTTCCAGAAAACTTTAGCAAGTTCACCTGATAGCACAAATGCCTAAAGTTGGTGGGGGCGAAAGGGACCATACCATAGAATTCTTAAAGCTAAAGGAAGCTTTGGAATATCTTTTTAAAAAAATATATTTTATTGATTTTTTACAGAGAGGAAGGGAGAGGGATAGAGAGTTAGAAACATCGATGAGAGAGAAACATCAGTCAGCTGCTTCCTGAACGCGCCACTCCCCCACCCACCCCCCACACACACACACATACTGGGGATGTGCCCACAACCAAGGTACATGCCCTTGACTGGAATCAAGCCTGGGACCCTTTAGTCCACAGGCCAACGCTCTATCCACTGAGCCAACCCGGTCAGGGCACTTTGGAATATCTTTAGCCTCATTTGTAAGACATGTAGTTTCATAGAAAACTAATCCCTTGAGGTATTCTACCAAAATAAAAAGATGAATAAATAAATAGCTTGTGAAACCATACCTATAAGTAATGTCTTCCCCTTAGAGATTCAGTGTTCACACCAGTATGTTAAGCACCCAAAGAAGTCCTGTACTAAAGAAATCAGGTAAACTATGGTTTCAAGTTCTGTATTCCCCCAACTTTCTCATTCACAAAATGCTCTTCATGAAATGTTAATGTGAGATGTTGGGTGATTCTTTGAAGGAAGTAAATTTGACTTAAGTTCCGTTTCCATACTTTGGATATAGGTTAAAGAATTAGAGTTGAGCAATTTTGAAAGCTCAAGAGCATTCTGGGACTAGAAGATGAACAAGGCAAGAGAATGTCCCAAGGCATTTGCTACAAATAGAAAGATTATGAGGTATTAGGGAGGTTTGAGTCCTAACATTGCCCTCATGGGTCAGAGGATTTGGGCAACTCACTCTTTAATCTCTGAGCCTCTATTTCCTTATTTATAAAATTGGAATAATACTGACAACACAGGCATATGGTGAGGTTTAAATGAATTAATATGACTCAGCTGGCACACTGTCATGACTTAGTAAATGCTACCTCTGACCGACATCATTTATGTAAAAATTAGTCAATGAGTTGTCAAATGCCAAACAACTCTAAATCCAATAAAGGTAACTTCCTCCCAGCTTTCTTTGATCTTCTGAGGTCCAAAAGAAAAATATGTAAAAAGTCTTATAGAAATTCTTATATAAAATATTTTCTAAATATTATTCTAATATGCTCCTATTAGGATTTATTGAGCTCAACTATACTAAGTTGTCTATTTTATCTCCCTTCCCCTTTTTTTACTCTTTAAAACTACTACAGCTCTTTGGAAAGGAATGTCTTAATTTTCTGAAGATAATCTCTTATGTGCATATAGTATTTACAAAGTTTTATATGTAAGTTTCCTATCTGAGGCAGTGAATTCAACAGCCAATGCAATACACTCTGTGACTATCACACTTATGTTCATGCATGTAGTTATCTTTAGATATACCAATTCTTTCATCGTTTTTCTTTTTACAAACCTCTAAGTAAAGATTACAGGTAACCAAAGTGATAATCCTTGACTCACTGGTAACCAAAGCTGAAATGGAAAAACACTGAGATCACAAACTGAAAACTAGTCCATAATGTACTAAATCTTTGGAAAGTTAGACTGAGTTTAAAAGTCTGAAAATAAACTACGTTCTTAAGAGACTTGAGAGGCATCTTTTGTATTAAGCCTGGCAACTCAAGAAGAATGTATATACTGACAGTACTTTAGTGACCTTAGATCACTGACAGAATCGGGCCCATTATCACTGTTATTTGTTAAATGACAGCTCACTCTATTCCAAAGAAAATATGAGAGAGGAAGCAGGGCACACATGAGGGCTCACGCTCTAGAGCCACATTTCCTTTCAGGAAAACCTTTCAGTGGGGCACAGCCGTTCTATAGGAGAAATGCAATTTTAAGAAAGTGTTATGAAAGCTGAGTAGTAAAGTCTTGGGCCAAAGGGCATCAAGCAGAAGCGAAAGAGATCCTCAGCACGCAGGCCCAGGAAAGCATGTGCTCGGGGACATGAGGCCATTCCACCAGGCAACCCAGATGGAAGAGCCCAGGCGCCCTGGAAACCGTGCTGCCTGACGCTCCACGGAGTGCGCACTCTGCTGCCAGCCTGGCAGCTCCAGCCCAGTGCAGGCTCTCTGGGCCGTTCCCACTCACTCCGTCAGTCTCTCCCTCTCCTCTCCCCACCCCGCCTCGGGCCAGAGGCTGCCTTCACTAGGGACCCTTCTTTCCCACTCCTCTTCTCTGCTGTCTGGGTTTCGTTTCAGTTCATGTCACAGAGCACATCACTCAGTTGTTCTCTTGTCTTATGTGTGCTTATTTTTAAAAAATGTATATATTTTTATTGATTTCAGAGAGGAAGGGAGACGGAGAGAGAGATAGAAACATCAATGATGAGAGAGAATCATCAATTGGCTGCCTCCTGCACCCTCCACTGGGGATCACGTGCCCTGACCAGGAATCGAACCATGACTTGGTTCATAGGTCAATGCTCAACCACTGAGCCATGCCGGTCACGCTATGTGTGCTTATTTTTAAAACCTTTGTAGTTAGCTATAATATCTTAATACACCTTCATTGAATAAATAATAAATATTGATTGAGCTTTCACCAGATACCACGGCACTGTGTTAGGAGTTTTACAAATATCTCATTTACTTTCACAGGTGTTATCTGAGGTGGGTAATATTACTAGATGCATTTCACAGTCTGTTTTAACTTAACAAGCGCTTGTCAGGTACCTGGTTCCATTCCGAGCACTTTATTAATACTAATTTGTTTGTTCCTCAAAACAATTTTATGAAGTTTGCTAAATTGTTATGCCTGATTTACAGACCAAAGGATGAGGGAGTGGAGACAGAGATGAGGAATAACTGGCTCCAAATCATAGAGTTAGTGGGTAAGTGACCAAGGCTCATGCCAGAAGCGTGACTGTGGGGCTGGGCGCTGCACACTGAGGCTGTGCAGCTCAGCATTGCCTCACATCACTCACGAAAGGAGAGATAGGTACTAGTTTTAAATGACCTCATGTATTTAAAACAATATCTTCTCATTTCCAACCCTTAAAGATTGAGCTTCCTAAAGACTCCAGTTTAATTTTTAAATGTATTTACTAATTTTTAAAAAATATTTAGAGCATTTTTTAAAGAGTGGACATGCCATATATAAGGTTAAAAAATCATTTTGAACCCGAATCTAATTACTTTTCAGTGTTAAATGATCCAGGATGGATTCCATATTAGCCCACCACTCTTCTACTCATTCAACAAACATTAATAAGACATACTTTGTGTCTGGTGCTGTGCCAGGCTTGGTGAATACAGCAGTGAACAAGAAAACTACAATCTACCCTGACCAGTGCAC